AAAGTAATATTTAGTACATATATATATATATATATATATATATATATATATAAAGATACAGATACATAATACACATAATAAAAGTTGAAATTCGTGATATAAACGATTATGAAGTATTAAATACAATATATTTCATTTGAAATATTTTTTAAAATTATTAATAATATTTTGAAGATAATTGAATTCGGAGATTCAAATTCACATTCAGTAAATAATCATAGATGAAAGATTATTTTATATACGAAATTGAATAAAAAATATATAATATATAATTTCTTTGCATAAAACTTTATTTCTAAAAAAATCGAATTTGAAAATTTTCAAGTATTTAACATGTTTGAATTCAATTTTTTTTTTTAATATAATCAGCAAGTAGTTTTAGTAAGCAATAATATTAGTAAGCAAAGAATTTTAATTATTCTTTAATTTATTAGATTAATATTTTTATATAATTATATCTATCCAATTTAATATTTTTTTTTTAATATTTTTATTTTGCTTTTGTAATATGTAGAATAATTTTTTAGCAATTATCTATTCAATTAAAAACAAGTTAAATTCATGTATTTATTTAATAAGTTTAATAAACTTGATTCTCAAAAACTTTTTATTTCCAATGAAATTGTTTTTTTTTTTCTATCTTTAAAATTCCTAGCATTTCTAAAATCTTTTTAACTAATATGTATCACAAATTTCGAGCGAAGTTGGTAAAAAATTTAAAACATGTTTTTATAAGTTAAATGGAAATAAAAATAAAGAATAGACAAATTTTTAAGACTTTATTTTTTAATTATTGACAATTAAGAATAAAATAAAATATCTCTGGATATATGAAGTGAAATTAATAAAAAAAAATATAAAAGAATTAAACGATTATTCTTAAAAAAATTTTTTTTAATTTTTAATTATCTATAAAAAAGCATCAATTTTTTTTATTCTTTATTTTTCATATTTTGTCTTATAGAAGTACTATTTAAATTTCCTCTTTTCGTATGTATAGCTTATATCAATGTATTATAATATAATAATATTTTGTAATTATAATAGTATTGTAGTATGCATATATATGCGTATTTTATACATAAACTATAACAAATTGTTTTGAATCCGTAATTATTATTAATTTGCTCTTTTCTTGTTATTAAATAAAATAGAAGGATAAATATTCTGCAAAAAATATTGGGTGAGAGAAAATCAGAAAAAAAGAAGTATTGTTCATATAAATATATTTTTAATTCATTATTAAATAACATTTATTTGTGAAAAAAATAATTAAAAATAAGAGATAGGCAAATCGAAGTGTTTTTAATTATTGAATAATAATTATTGAATAATATTTATTATAGAAAAAGTAAATAAAATAAGCAGGATTGGTAGGCAAATCCAATATTTATAGCTATCTATAAAGTATAGTGAAGTAATATTGATATATAATATGTGTCATATAATAATCGAAGGGAATAGAGAGTAAGAAAGTAGAATAGGACTTTCTCATCAGACAAAAAGTAGAATAGATACTAATTAGAAAGTGTTGATTGTTTCAGATTTTTTTAAAAGTTCATTTTATTATTAAAACAAAAAATCAAAAGATTTTAAGAAAAAGAAAGACTAAAAAAATATTTTTTCATTCATATTTATAATCGAATTTTTAAAATATAAATTAAAAAAAAATTATAAACATTTGATTTTTGTGAATTGAAACTCAAATTATTTAAAATTAATTTATACATATATTTATTCAGTGTTTATCTCAATGAAAATCTTTTAATATAGAATGAAAATAGAATTTATTCATTCATGAATATGTAAGTTTTTTTATTGATATATCTATTAAATTCAAAGATCGAAAATTCTCTTGAATGTACTCAAGATGTAGTTTCAATTGTATTCTCATATATAAAGTATTATAAGAAACGATATTACATTTTATTTTTAAATAATTTTTATATAAAATAAGATAAGTATATAATTTTTTAATTATATATCAAATATCTTATGATTATCTTTTATAAATATGCATTCTTTCAATAAAATTTTTCTATAAAATCTTTATATACTTTTTGTGTTATTTATTAAATTTCTTGAAAGTTTGTTTTTCAATTAATGAATTGTATTATTTCTTTGCATAGATCTTAATTTTTAAAAATTATGCATTTCCAAAAAGAAATCATTAAATTAGAAAGTTATAATAAATTTTTATACATCAAATATTTTATAATAAAATTACTTAATAGTATTGTTAACTCTTTAAAAACATAAATTTTTAAAGTATTATTAATTTATATATTTATAATATCAATTGAATATATTGAATATATAATATTATTATAATATTATTAAGTTTCAAAAAAATAGAAAAAAAAAATAATGAAATTATTTCTTCTATGATGCTATATTATAATACAATAAAAGAAAGAACTCATAATACATCCAAAATATATAAGATAAGATAAGATTTGGTCATAAATTTTTAACTATAATTGTTAATTTAACAATTGGTTTCTAAAAATGATTCTAAATTTTGTTAATGTATTGAATTTTATATTATAATGAATTATTTTTATTAATTTTGACACATTAAAAATTCCAGGATAATAAAAAAATAGAATTTATAATAAGTTCTATAAATTCTATAGATTCAAAAGAGAATTGTATTACGCAGCAACGAAGTTTTGACGTCTAATATTAACAATAAGATTTAAACTTTAAATAAAGTTATCGATTTTATTTAATAATTTAAAGATTTATATATTAGTACGTAATTTTGTCTTAGTATATAATCATTCCATCACTATTTTCATCAAGGGAATCATTATACAATTTTCATCAATGTTTTCTAGTTATCAGAATTTATAGGGTTAAAATTTAATGTAAGATTTAATAATAAGTTTTCCTTTGATATCATCGTATAGTCCATCACTAAATAAATTCAAGGGCACGTTTGATTCCCTTATTCGTCTATATTAGAAAGAAGATTTTATATGTAATATACACATGTGTAATAAATGTTGTACGCTTTATTTCACTTTTCTATTATTATGTACACGCAATCATAATATATTTACAATTATTTTTTAAATTATTCGTTATTTCAAAGTATATTGCAAGTAGAAATTACTTTATTTCACAGAGGATTTGATATAAATTTTGATATAAATAATTTTTCTTAGTCAAAACTTTATTTTTTTAAATAGTATTTTTTAATAGATTAATAATTAAATTTATTATTCTTCAATAGAAATAAGAATATAATATAGCAAAAAAATTAATTTTTGAGATATTTTAATTTTATTATTTAATCATATGAAACATAATATGCCAAATTTTACAAATTTATAGTTAAAATATTTTTTAAATCAATCATTTTTTGCTATATATATAATAGTTTATACACATAATAGTAATAGTAATATATAATAGTTTATAATAATTTAATAGTCTTTCATAGAATATAACAAGTTATATCAATTGATGCATTAAAATATTAAAAAATTGACTTTCATATATCCATTATATTTATATTATGAATAAAATTACTTATATCAAATAATCCGAAAATATATTTTTGAAATAACGAATAATTTAAAAGACGATTGTTATTTAAATGCCCAAATGAAACATCCTGTATATGAATACAATACAATCATATCTAATAATGATATTTGTACGATATTAAATTATTCGATATAAATATAAATATACAGAATGTTAATATATCTGTAGAATATTTTTTGTAAGCTTCTAAAGGCCAAAATAAATATAAAAGTTAATAGAAAAGTCTCGATTAAAGTTTATTTGTTAGTTCATAAGCAATTAAAGTTTGTTTTAGTGAGATACAAATAGAATGAAGCGTATTTCTGTTATATAACCATCTCTCTTTATCTCCATCTCGTTTGATTTAATGCAAATTTCAATTAATAAATAATAATAAATAAGCCTCAATCGATATTTTTTTTATATCAATTTTTGTATTTATTTATATATATCCTTTAGAATTGATCTTTCAAAATGTTCAACAATATATAATATATAATAACACCCTGTAAATTAGTAATTAAAAATCAGCATAATTCGTTTATTAATTCGTATATAATAAAATACATGAATTATAGAATCATGTCTTGACTTCATATATACATATACATATACATATATAATGTATCATTATTCATAATATAATCATCATTAAAAGTATCGGGGAATTTCTGTTTCAGTCGGTCAGCATGAAGGTGTAATTAACGACTATTACTTTAGAGATTCTTTTGATCATTCGTCATCGGAAAGTCAGCTATTGGATGCATCTGGAAAACCGCACAGTCGTTCGGTGACGCCTGTACCGAAAATGCAAAAACTTCAAAACGCAAAAGAATTTCATCAACAACAACAACAACAATTGCAGCAAACTGGTCGACGTTCAAAATCAAGGCATAAGAGTCTTCGAATCACGAGGCTTTTCATTCCAGCTTTCATGCTCACGATCACAGTTTTGTTTATCGTGATCGTTTTGATATTTGAGACAGACACAACGCTTTTCAATAATTTGCGTAAGACGCCAGAAATGGTGGCCTTAAAGAACCAATATTATGTCCCCATCAAGGAGTTCTTGAGGACAAAGCTCGGCCTATTTTGATGTGACGCGATGATGACCAGGCTGAGATCGCCCTTTGTCGCTAAGTAACTTCCTTCAGTGCCAAGTCAAAAAATTGATCGAGGAGTATTGTATTTCTTTCTCATGCGTTTCTCTTTCTTTTTAGGTATGTGAATTTACATACGAGGAAACGAATTGTTTTTGTTAAGTTTTCGTCTATTGTTTTTATTCTGAATATAGTATATCAAATTGATACAGTATATTTGATTTACACGTATTATTTCAAATTGGCATTTGAAGTTTTTGAAGTACTTATTTGGAAAATCAGTACTGTTTGTTATCTTGTGTATATAATGATTTACTTTGGTTTATATACATGATTTACGTTTTTATAACCTCAAATATATTAATATATCTAATATAATAAACTATTCTTACTACTTTATCTGCAGTAATTTAATCTAAAATTTCAAATATTGCGAAAATGGCCAATATTGCTGAAATTTTTGAGCATCTTGAGATTTAAGAAAATATACTATAGGAAAAAAAGATGCGATCGGATTTTTCGAAAATTTCTGCCGCAAAAGGAATCACTTGTTCTTATTTCGGCCTCTATAACGACTGCCAAACTCACTCTAATCAGATCATATTTGTTCCATTGTTTTTTTTTTTTAGTACACACACATATATATATTTTTTATATAACATATTTATGTTAGAAATACTTTATTCGGAATTATAGAAATTATGTATATATATATATAATCAAAGTAAATTATTAAATATGTAAAATAAAACATTTTCTAAATAAGTATTATTATATGGGATTAAGGATATGTCTTAATACAAAAATGTTCCAATATTTCGCTAACATTGCAGCTAAGTTTACCAAGGATCACACAAGATAAGAGAAATCGTAAACTTCAAATACCAAATTGAATATTTTGAACCATGACTCAAAACTCGATATAAATATGTCTCTAAAAAACTGTTATCTGCGATAAAAAAGTACCTCTAATTTATTATTTGTTTACTTTTTGCACTACACATATGTATATTTAAATATTGATAACTTAATATATTTACTCTGTCGAAGACGAAGTGTTTTGTACAAAATATTTACATTGCGAGTTCTCGTGTTTTACTATGTAATAAGTTATATATAATTCGACGAATTGTTAGAGAACTTTGTTATAGTAATATTATCGAATTTATTTAATAAATTTAGATGAAAGTCAGTTTCTACGTAATTACTATTATATAGAATGTGTCGCAAATCGAGAAAGTCATATTTGTATTTAAATACAAAGTTAGATTATGTACAAGTATGTACGTTTTCAATTTATAATTAGTAATAGAAATCATGAGCAGAAACATCAAGTAGTATGTTGCACAACATATTTTTATTTTTTATGTATAATAAAGCGATATTATTTATACTTTAATTTTAAAGTAAAATTATACTTTGTATTAAAATTATTTCTTAATGCATAAAAATCAATTTGTTCAATATTTTTTTTCTCTTAAAGATTTGTTTCTTTCATTTGTAAAGTATATCAATCATATTTATGAACTTTATATTTTTTTTTTTGAATAAATTGAATAAAAGTTTTATTCGTACTAATTGATATTTCTCATAAAATGTATAATTTGCTAAATTTGAAATTAAAAAATTATTAATTTATTTGATTTTACATATATATTAGAAAATACTGTGATTGAATTAATGTTTAAATAAGTACTTAATTTTCGGTTTTAAGAAGAGTAAATTATACATAGAATTCAGCATGCGTAATTGTAATCATTATTATCGTTTTTAAATGAGCTGTAAACAATCTTTTTTTTATAAACTTTTAGTTATGATAAAATATTTAACTAATTTTTATAAGACAATTTAATAGATCTTGTAAGATAGAATCGGGCAACATACGGTGCAATCAGATAGTACACATGTAAAAAACAATGTTTTTTATTCTGTTATTATGTTAATGTTTTCCTGAAAATTATTCAAGGAAAACAGATATGCTTCCTAACATTTGTATTGGCATTTAACAATCAAGTATCGAACAATCGATATTAATATTATCAATCGATTATTAATATTATTATTATTATTATTAGATAAAAAAATCTATTTTTATTTAATTTTAATTCAGATTTAATCATTTACTTTAGAAATTTATGCAAGTAGAATTCAGTGTGTGTGTGTGTGTATACAATAGGATGAATCTCCAGACATTAATTATACAAATTATTTTTTAATGATATTAAAATATTCAACCAAAAATTTATTTATTAAAAGAAATAAATAATATAGTGGAAATTACTTTTCACGACATATTATATATTCTGAAATATTAAAATAATTTTAAGTTGGTTAGTATATTTTTTTCATACAATGAAAATATAAATACCATGAAGTATTGTTATTTATTTGTAATATTTCGGTGAGTTGGATATAGCAGGGAATTAGGATTATAAATGTTTATGTAAGATGTCTAAAATCAAATTAATTTGTATAATAACTAAAAATTGCAATAACTAAAAATTTGTATGAATATTTATACATATATAAATCTATTTATTTTTATAAAAAAATATGAAATTTCAAAAGAATTAATATTAATTAATATTAAAAAAATATAATATACTTCCTCTTTATTATAGTACTATGTGATTAAAAAAAAGTATTCTTTTTTGTCATTAATTTGTTTATGTCAATAAAAATAATAAAATGTGCTTAGATTTTAATGTCTCACGATTCATCCTGATATGATCATATAAATTTATTCTAAATTATAAATTTTGTCTGAAATATTAGATTGCTTCCAAAGATTACATAATTGTCATTAGAAAAATTATCTAAACAAAGTAATTTATTTTGAATCTTATACTTGAAATCTGTTTTTATAATGAATATTTGTGAATTAAATATTCATGAATGTAACGAAACAAGGTGGAAAAATTGCACTTTTTTACCTTATAATATATTTTAAGTTGTATTTAGTATTATTACATTAATTTTCCATTTATTGAATTGACAAATAGTAGCTATATCACATTATTGATCACATTACTATAAAGAGATGTAAAATCACGCAATTATAATTATATATTTATATTTAAGTATATTCAAAAATCTTTTTCATGGATCATGAAATTCAATATTATATATTAATCTAATATTTCAACACAAGATGATTTATATAATGATTTTAAAAGATATGTGAAAATAGAGAAATAATGTGGAAAACAAAATAATACTATAGTAAAAACAAAAATCAAAAATTATTTATATTATTATTTTGCTTAATATCATAATTAATATCATAATTAATTAAATCAATTAATTGGTAATTATTTTTGTGAAAATTTAAAAAAATTATGATTTAAATAACAAAAATAAAAAGATAATATTGACAAATAATATACTTATCATAAAATTTAGATTTTAAAAACTTAAATTTTTATTTATAATATATTTAATATATAATGTATAATATATTTGCATAGGATATAATAATGTTAGATGAAATTGCATGTTTTTTTTTTGTAATGTTTAATCAAATTCAAAAATTTTTATTTTTTTCCTAATAATAATTTTATCACTATTTAAATTAAATATAAAAATTTTTTTATATAAAATAAAATTCATAATAATAAATTATTTTATTAATATTTTTATTAATATAATATTTTATTAATATATTTTATTAATATTGGTTCTTTATTCAAGTTGGTTTCATAACATTGTATGCAACGTATATCAATATTAATATCAATGTTATTTATTATTATTATTTCATGAATAAGAAATATAAATGAAATTTAAAGAAATTTATGATTTTTATTTATGTTAAAAGTATATGCAAAATAAATATATGCATCTATTTTAGTGATGCTCAAATATTAAAAATTGTATTTATTAACTTCTAGTTTCAATATTTAAAAAAAAATCATTGTATTGTGTGTTTTTCTATTTTATTATTCATTTTAATAAAATATTAAGAAAATGAATAATGTAATACTTATCTTAAAATTTTAATAGAATATGAATATAAAACAATTTCAATAATGATATTGATCAAGGCTTATAAGTAAAACAGCTATTTTTATTTTCTTATAACATAATTATTTTAAAAGATATAAAAAGGAAACCCATTTAATCTATTTATTTTTATTTTTTCATAAATTTTTTTTTTATGACAATAAAATTCAAAAACTGTAAAAATAAATAAAACTTCATAAGATATCCTAGACTAAAAAGTTATGATCTATTAATAAAAAACATGTTTCATAGAGAAGAAATAAAGTTTTGGGCATATCATTTATTTGACTTTTAATGTTTTTATAATTATAAAATACAATATGCCTGATTAGTTTATTGAAAAGAACTCTAATATCGATTTTATCATTCAAATGCTTGAAAATAATGTTAGATTGTTGCATATAAAATGGCAGATTTCATAAATATATAAAATCATACACATTAAGTGATCAAATGTATTGTTAAATATTTGTTGCATATTAATTTAAAACTTAATAATTGAATACAACTTGAATAATGTTTTATCAATTATTTTATTATATATTATAAAAAACAACTTCAGTATTACAATGAATTATTATTTAATATTGAATTCGAAATTGTATTTTTTTGTATATAAATTATATATTTATAATTTATCATATGTGATATTTTATATCTTTTTTTGAATTTGAATATCCAGTAATATACTATTTTATGCATTCCACTTTAAAGGTATTCATTTTAAAATCATTTTATTAACAGTTTATAATAGATTAATTTATATTTAATATTCAATATTTTTATCCAAGGATTCTTTTTCTTTATAGATAGACATTTTTATGTAGTTTTCTGTTTAAATATATTTAAAGTTATTTAATTATTTATTACTGTGAGAAAATAATAATGAGTGCTAAGATTATTAAAGAAATATTTATGTTGATATTATATGTATTAATGGTTTGTATAATGTAGAACAATGTGTACTTAACAGATGATTTTTTTGTCAGTATATTTATGTCTTGTAGATAGTCTTCCTTGAAGGATTGCAATTTAGTGCTTAATATGTAGTATCTTGATATAGTCTGCTTGGCTATAGATATTTATATTAAAATAGTTTGTAAAGTATATTTTACAATTCAGTATTTTATAATAATTATGATCTACGAAGTATGTATTATTTCTATTTTTTTTGTATATAAATCTTGCTCTAGCTGTAGAATTATATTTTATGAATATTACTATATTATTTGTTAAATATAGTTAAAGAAGTAGATGAAGTAGATTACTTTATTTATTTACTTATAGGATTTTTTATTTATATTATTATTTGCATCATTATGTAATTATTCTTTGTTGTAACTGAATATTTTTGATCAAAATTGATTTATTGTTTTGTATTTTATTTTATTTTTTTTTTTTTGCAATTGAGTGATTTTTTTTCATATCTTATACATTGGTATATTTATTATAGTATTTTTGGTTTTAGATATCTTTCCCACTATATCTTTAATTATTTATATTATATATTAATAATTATAATTAATATAATAATTTTATTTATAGAAATTTGATTATAAATTTTATTTTTTATTTTTATTTTAGAGCTTTTTTATAAAATATATTTCTTTATTATTGAAGTTTACTAATAACACTACAAAGAAAAATAATAAATTCTTTTGTAATTTGTTATTATGAGGTAATATATGTATTAATATTTCATATTCTAATTTTTTAATTTAGCAATATTGTGTATATATATGTATTATAGTAAACTTATCTCTTATATGATTACAATTTTTATCCATAAATTCGGCAATATTAAGCATTATTCACTAATACTATCATGTTTTCATATTTTGAGAATTTAATATGCTCATACTTTGATTACTTTTATTTTCAATAAATATTAAAAAATCAATCATTTTATCTGCAACAACTAAGAAAGAAATTTGAATTGAATTGCTAATTATCTGAATTCATTTTTAACTTTATAAATAGAGTGAATAAAAGTCATTGACAATTAACAAAACACAAAATATTTATTAATTTATTTTTAATAAAATTTGTAATGAGATTTTTCTAATTGAAATAATTTTAGATTTAAACTGCAGAAATTTATATTGCTATTAAATCAGTCTAATAGAAATGAAATATATCTCATGATATGTTTTATAAAGAAATTTCAAATTAAATAAATAAATCTCGTAT